AAAGCAGGAGAGGGTGAGAGTTGGTGAGACATTTTTACGTGCTTTTCTCCTGTGCTTTGTAAAATATCGCTGGAAAGCACATGAGATGTCTGGTGGAAAGAGCAAAACCTAGCTAGTATCAATACATGTAAATGCTTGGAAGGTTTTACGTTAAAAACATAAGGAAAAAAATTGTTGAGTGTCTCGGGATTAGAATACCAGGTAATTTGCATTTTTGCCCTATTTTCTACATGTTAATTTTTAAAAATATATTTGTATTGATATCAGAGAGGAAGGGAGCGACAAACATCAATGAGGAGAAAGAATCATCCATCAGCTGCCTCTTGCGCGCGCGCACGCGCGCGCACGCGCACACACACACACACACACACACACACACACACACACACCCTCAACTGGCGATCTAGGCAGCAACCCAGGCATGTGCCCTTGATCACAACTGAACTCAGGACCCCTTCAGTCCTCAGGCTGACACTCTATCCACTGAGCCAAACCAGTTAGGCCTGAGCAGAGCTTCTTGAATTCCACCCCCCCCCCCCCCCCCCCGCCTCGATCGAGGTTGTGGTTGCATGAGTGAGTTTGCCTTGTGAAAATGTAGAGATGAGCCCTTAGAATTTGTATACTCTTCTGTATGTATATACGTACTTCTTCAATAAGTACATATATTTTTTATAAAATGCTACAATGAAACAAGTTTTTGCAAGCACAGGTGCATGTGGTTTACAGATGCCCCCCCTTTAGTCAATTATTACCTTTATTTCTATTATAGGTGATACGGTAATTGTCTTCTTTCACAAGCACAAATTGAGACTCAGAGGTAACAAGGTTCCACAACACATTCAAGAGCCTAGTGGAAGAGTACCTCCTAACTAGGGTACGCCAGAGGGCCTAAGAAATTAGCTCCAGGCCAGGCCAATATCACGATAATAAATCGCCTTGAGATTTAACGTGTGACTTGTGGCAACTTTAAAATAGGCTCACACCTTCTTTTAGTGCTCCTCCCATATAAAGGTGGGGTCTAAGTCCCCTCCTCTTGAACCTAGGCCAGTCCTGGTGACTCCTAGCTGAAGAACACAATGTGGCACCAAAGACACTGCGTGATCGTTTTTAAAAAATATATATGTATTTTATTGATTTTTTACAGAGAGGAAGAGAGAGGGATAGAGAGTTAGAAACATCGATGAGAGAAAATCATCAATCAGCTGCCTCTTGCACACTCCCTACTGGGGATGTGCCTGCATCCAAGGTACATGCCCTTGACCGGAATCGAACCCAGGACCTTTCAGCCCGCAGGCCGACGCTCTATCTACTGAGCCAAACCGGTTTCGGCGACACTGCGTGATCTTGAGGTGAGGTTCGAAAAGAAAACTCAGCAACTGTCTGATGCTTTCGTTCTCTCTGGATACTTACCCTCGGAATCCAGCCACCATCTTGCCACAGAGAAAGGCCATGTGGCAGTGTTTCAGCCATTCCGAAGGTCCCAGCTGACAGCCACCGTCAACCATCAAACGTGAGAGCCACTAGGTCAGTGGTCGGCAAACTCATTAGTCGACAGAGCCAAATATCAACAGGACGATCGAAATTTCTATTGAGAGCCAAATTTTTTAAACTTAAACTAAATAGATAGGTACATCATTATTAACTCAATTAGGGTCCTCCTAAGCTGGCCTTTGCTAAAAACTCAAGAGGCCAAAGAGCCACATGTGGCTCGCGTGCCGCAGTTTGCCGACCACTGCTCTAGGTGATCCTAGCCCCCCGCCTTCCACCACCACAGCCGATTCCCTGGCGCAGAGACCAGCTGTCCCAGACAAAACCGCCCAAAAAGCAGATTGGAGTGCAAAATACATGTGCAGTGAAGCCACTGGTTTGGGGTAGTTCATTACACAGTAATAGATAACAGCCACCGTGTTTTTAATATGCCTAATTCCCACTACCAGCTTAAAAAGGAGCTACTACTCGGCCAGTGTGGCTCAGTGGTTGAGCACTGGCCCAAGAGGGAGAGAGGGAGGGGAAGAGAGAAAAACATCTATGTGAGACACATTGATTGGTTGCCTGGCACATGCACCCCAACATCGGCAGGGATCTAACCTGCAACTTAGGTACCTGCTCTGGACCCCTTCTGACTGGTACGAACCTAGATCCTTGGTTCGTTGCCAATGCGCAAACCAATGTACAACACCCGTGGATAGAGAGTGTTGGCCTGCAGACTGAAGGGTCCCAGGTTCAATTCCCGTCAGGGGCATGTACCTTGGTTGGGGGCACATCCCCAATGGGGGCTGTGCAGGAGGCAGCTGGTCAATGTTTCTTTCTCATCAATGTTTCTCTCTCTCTCCCTTCTTCTCTGTAAAAAAATCAACAAAATACATATTTTTTTTAAAAGACCACTGATTAAAAAAAAAATTTTTTTAATAATTAAAACGACCATTGTTTGAGCACCTATAATGTGTCTCTGCATAGGCTTAAAAAACACACAGCAGCTTTATGGGGATTGTACAAGGCCTTTTGCCCACCTTATCCTATTTAATCTGGACAACAGCGAGTGAGTTATCATCATCCCAATTTGACAGACGAGAAAAACCAAGGCTAAGAATGAATGAATGAATGAATGAATGAATAAATAAATAAATAAATATCCTAATTCTCCGCAGTCTATAGGGAGGCAAATTCGGCCCATTTGCAAATGCTCCCCTCTGCCTCTTGCTTGCAGAGAAAATATAATTTGTAAGAAACACATGGTTGTTTCGTTATTATTAAAAACGTTTGCATCACAATTTTCTCTGTTGCCAAGATTCATGAGAAGAAAACTTAGTGATCAGTGTCCATGCCCTTGATGTCTCAGGAAAGTTAAGCTCCAAGAAAGTAGGTCCCTTAAAAAACCATCCACACCCATGTGTCATTTCACACAAATCCTGGGCGGTGCGCCGGGACAGAAACAGGAGCTGCCGAGCAGGCTCCCCGGTGACCGCTCCTCCCCGCACAGCCGCTCCCCTCGCGGCCCACACGGTGGGGAAACGGTTATTTGCATCTCGGTGTCCCCTTCAGAGTGTCCGCACTCGGTGCTGAGCGCTTGACGCTCATTTTCACCCAAACACACTCGGACTTCCCCTTCCTGGGCAGACTTCAGTTACGGGCGGGAAGAAGAAAAAAAAAAAACAAACACGTTTCAATGAATTTGTCAGTCGCCTTCAGCTCCATCAAAAGCAAGCGTGGCCCGCCTGCCTAGTCAAACAGCAACGACAAGTAATCTCGCTTATTCCTCCGGAATGTTTATAGAGAAACCATTTTTAAAAAGAACGGGACTCAGAGAAGGCAGCTTCGCGCCCCGGATCACAGCACTAGAAAGAGCTGGGGTTCGAGCCCACACCCCGAAAAGGCTCAAACCCCCCAGCCAGGCAGGCTCGCCTGACTCGGATGAGCCCCACCGCCTAAGCCCCACGGTTCTCCGCGGGCGACCACAGCGCAAACAAACGCAGCGACCCAGGCCGCGGGCCCCGGCCCCCCGCCCCCCGAGGAGAGCACCCCAGCGGGGGTCGCGGGCTCCCCACACCGCCCGTCCCGCTCCTCCCCGCCCCGAAGCGCGCGAGGGAACCCGGCGTTCCCCCAGGGGCTGCCCACGACGGCCGCCTGCGCGCACCGGGGCGGGCGGATGGCCCCTCCGGCCGGGCCTCCTCGCACCCACCGCCACCTCCATCCCCCGCCTCCACTCCTCGCCTCCGAGCGCTCGCGGGAGCCCGCACCCCGGAAGCGCGCCCCGAAGGCCCCCCTTTTCGGCCCGGCACCGCCGCGGCCACCTCACATCCGGGCTCGCGGCGGCGGGGCGGCGCCGGCGCCCGGTGCGTGGAGGGAGTTATTAAGAGGGCGGGGGCCGGCGGAGGGCGGAGGGCTGGGCCGCGGTTACGGCGGCTGAAGGGAGACAGCCCGGACGGGTGGGGGGGGCGAGAGCGAAGGCCGCGTTGAGAAGCGCTGGGACCCGCGCGGGCGGCGGACAGGGGAGCGGCGGCCGAGGGGAAGGGCCTCCGGGCGGCGGAGGCGCCGAGTAAGAGCCGGGCGGCGGCGGGGACGGGCGCCGGGGCCCGCGGAGAAGGGGCGCGGGCGCGCTGCTCCCGGGGTCGCGTGCGGTAGCGCGAACGCCGGGGCGCGCGCGGGGGGCGGGCGGGCGGGGACTCGGAGGGAGCCAGCGGGGCGGCCCCGCGGGCGGGCGGGCTGGTTGGGCCGGAGCCGCCGGGCCGGACGGCGGCGGGCCTGTGCCGGCTCCAGCTCGGGGCGCCCCGGCTGGGGGTTCGGTGTCCCCCGTTCCCTCCGGCCCGCCTCCTCTCGTGAGTACAGTCCCCGCCTTTCCTCGGAAGGAGGCCGCTGGCCGGGGCCTGCGCGAGAGGCCGGGGGTTGGGGTCGCGGCGGCAGGGAAGCCGAGTTTGGGAGCCGAAGCCGGCGCTCGCCTGACATGGCCACAGGTGCGGCTGGCGGCGGGGCGAGGGGCGCTCGGGCCCCGGCCCCGGCCCCCGGAGAACGAGGGGCAGCTGGCGCCGTCCATTGGCAAGTGACAGGCACTTGACTACACACCCGACTTCCCGTATCTCCCGGCCCCAGCCCCTGTCTGTCCTACCTGCCCCCGCTCCGGGAAACTTCCCCGCGGTTCGGTGTCCGGTCTCCACGAGTAGCAGCTACGAATCTTGGTTCCTGTTTGTCGTGAAGCAGCTGAAAGGCTGTCCCCACGACATGGGCACCTTCCCCTACTGGGTTCCTCACCCTTTTGATGGTCTTAGGGCACTTGATTCAACTGGAAGAGACCACCAAGGACCAAGGGTGCCGTTTACAACGGGATTCTTGTTTATAGCACAATGGTTGGGTGAAGGTTTGTTTCTTAGTGGTAGTCATGTTGAGAGGGGGGAAAAAAAGTTTCCGTTTCTGAAAGAGTCAAGACTTCTGGAACTGTATTGTTCTCAGAGACAGTTTTGTGCTCATTTCTCTTCCAGGTGCAAAGAATCGTAGACCCAGGAGCCATGGATAGGAGTGTGGGTGACATAGAAAACGGAGATGCTTTCCTTGACTTGAAGAAGCAACTGGCCTCCAAATCCCCCCATCGCTATACAAAAGTAGGCTCTGTTACCAATGAAAGAGTGTTTCTCTGTAAAGGTGGGGAGGTTGGTAACATTGTGTAGGTATCTCATTGCCTTATCTCAAGTGGTGGTGTCCTTCTGATTGACTATATGGACTAAACGAATGTTAACTAAAAAGCGTAGCTTTGAACTTTTTTTCTGAAAGTGTGAATACCCAGAGTTTAAACTAGAAGGCGCTTCTAAGTAGCTTTCAGGTGAAAGGAATGTTGGCTCAGATCCCATATGAAGTTGTGGACCAGTCCGTATATGGTGGCGCACACACATTCTGTAACTGCTGGTATGTTGTTGACTTAGAGGAAGAACTGCATCTCTGAGATGCCTCACAAAACCAGTGTCCTGTGTTTTCATGCTTTCTTAAGAGGCTAACACCCCAAAGGAATGCATTCTAGGTGCTTGGCTAGAGTAACCAGATTTTCGGTTATTTTTTGGTTCCTGTCACAAATGAATATGGACTCGCAGAAGGAAGACTTCAGTGACATTTCCCCTCGCTGAGAAATCCTGATTTTAAACTGCTTTTGCCAGGGGTGGGAATGGGGGGTGCAAAACACCCCAATGTCGCATTCTTTTTGAAGCTATTGTTTCCCTCAGGATCAGTGTTGGTTATTGAATGTTTCTGAAGAGGTTGACAGGACTGGATGCGCTGTGAATTCATTCCTGGTTCCCTTCCCTGTGTTGGGCTGGAGGGTATAAAACGTGCTTGGGACTGCTGACAGAACGGGTTATGTCCTAGTTGGGTCCATATCTATGCTTTCTTACTATGGACCCAGTCGAGGACTCTGAGGTGGTTATTGTCCCTGGCTTGCTAGGGTACCGATTGGTTAATATTTTAAAGTGCAGCCTTGTTTGTGTACTTTTGTCGCTACTCTTACCTGCTTGATAAGTATCGAATGCTGTCAAGTAATATTCATTTTTAGCATTTAGAAAACCTCTCTAGAGGGAGAAAAAATGTCTTCAAGTGTGAAAGAGTTCTTGGTTAATTGCTGTCTTACTGCAGTCTGTTTAGCATAACCGAGTTGATAGAAAGCATTTTACTTCATCCAGGTTTGGTCCTCCCTAATGTAGTTCCTCTCAAACCTGAGGGTGCTTGTTGAATAGTGTTCACAACTTAAATTCATTACCTAAAATGTTGACAGGTGAATTTTGGGTAGAGAAAAGCTTATTAATTGAAGGGAAACTTTTATAAGCTTCTGTGATTTCAATTCTGCCAGAACTTTTTGAATAAAGTTCTGACCAGTAGTCTACTTGTAGAGTACTGACACTTTCATAGGCTGACCTGAGGCTGGCGTATGTATTTCATTTTTAGAAAGTTATTTGTTTCTCTTGGGGTAGAGCGTATATATGTCTAGAGTAAATAAAAAGCTCATTAGAGCCCATTTTTTTATAGTCCAACCTCGATATTCTGTACCTAAAATGGTTAAGAAAAGCATTTAAGTGAACGATAGTGGAGCTTAGATTTAATAGTCTCTTCTACCAAATTTAATTGAAAATAGGCTTACTTTCCATTCCATTCAAGAGGATTTAGTTAATGGCATCTTCAGGATTGTGTTTAGGCAAAGTTAGGGTAGTGTTTTCTTATATATGTTACTCAACACTAGCAATTAACTAAACTTTTCTTCTTTTGAAGAAAGCTTAAAGCAATCCTGAGTTCTGAGTACCATAATAAATGGTCTGTTAGTTCCACAACTGGAATCGTATTTGAGCTCGCCTATTCTTTATCGACATACAGAGATCAAACCATTGGAATAAGTAAAGCATTTAGTAGTACTTCTGCCATGTGCTGGAAAGTTTAGCAGCAGAAGGAAACTGTCCTCAGTGATTTTCATAAGGGATGTATTTTGTGAACACTTTTGTAAACGTGGGAATTTTACTACAAGGTCAAAAAAATATAAAACGCATTGGCCAGATGAGAGGCTTCTTAACCTTTGACCCTTCGTAGTTTAGCATTCAGTTGTTTTTATGGGATAATATGAATAGTCTGTTCAGAATTTGAGGGCTTTTTTTTTTTTTTTTTCTCATGAAGGTAAGTGGTCCAGATGTTTGGCTAAGTGCTTTTAAGTGTAACATAGCAGAGTTTCCTTATGTCCCAAAATCACTTGTGAACTTTGTGAAGTGTGAATTCTGATGTTAGGTCAGAGGTGAGCTAAATTCAGTTTTTAACCAGCTCCCAGGTTAAACACTGCTGGTCCACTGACCTTACTTTGAGTGGGTAGGCTCTAGTGTTCTTGAACAACCCGAGGCCTGATGTGGATGTTGTCAGGCAACTCAGATGCGTTGTTGCTCCTGTTTCAGTTGGTGTCCATTGTGCTTCCATGAATATCTCAGGAACTGAAGTTAGACTCACACTGGGTACTTTCGGACCTACCCCTAAGTCTCAGGGATGATTAATGGGGACGGTTATAAGTGGATTTTTCAGATGCACCTGTTGTCCTGAGGGATTTGAGCCCTTAATTTATAAACAATAGCGGTCCATTTTGCCAGGTCAGGTTACTAAGATCAAAAGCTGTGTTTCCGTAGTATTTAAATGTGCGTTTATAAATTGGTTGGGTTACGTTGAGAGACTTTTGGAGGTTATAGAGTGGGTCTCACCTCAAAGTCATGGATTAAAGTGGTTTAGACCAGCGGTCGCCAACTGGTGGTCCATGAGGTCCGAAAGGTTGGTGACCACTGGTTTAGACAGTGGTTCTCACAGCGTGGTATTTGAACTAACACTTTGCGTCATCTGGTAATGTGTTAGGAATATAAAATCTCAAGTCCCATCCCAAAGGTATTGAATCAAACTCTAGGGCTAAGGCCTAGTCACTAGCATTTAACAAGTCTTTCAGGGAATTCTGACTCTTATGCTAATTTGAGAACCATTGGTTTAGGGCAGTGGGCAAACTCATTAGTCAACAGAGCCAAATATCAACAGTGCAATGATTGAAATTTCTTTTGAGAGCCAAATTTTTTAAACTTAAGCTTCTTCTAACACCACTTCTTCAAAATAGACTCGCCCAGGCCGTGGTATTTTGTGGAAGAGCCACACTCAAGGGGCCAAGAGCCGCATGTGGCTCGAGAGCTGCAGTTTGCCAATTATGGGTTTAGAAAACAGAGGAGATAGTGATGTGTATTAGGGAAGAAACTTTGGGACCCATTCAGTTTTTCTTACCTTCATCAGAGGTCCTTATTTACCAGTTCTTAAGGTCTAGTGCTTGCTATTCTATTACCATCTTCTGCTTGAAATATAAACTAGAAATGCTTTGGACTGTCCCATTACTCAGATCCATGTGTTTTTTCTTCAAGTGAACAGACTGATCTTAGACCATAGAGTGCATACTTAGTGCTTTCCTCCTTTGCTCTTTATCTTCCCACTGACTCCTGCCAGGGGACAGGAAATAAAAACAGAGAACACTCAGAAAATTCATCTTGATAGTGACTAGTGTTAAGCATGTTAAATATAAAAGGTAGGTGTTGGATTATCTGAGCTTAATTCCGCACCATTTTAGCCATCAGTGTCTATAAGGGATCTTTAAAGGATCCCTCATTTATGGCTGATGGGTAATGGGTCCCAGTGGTGCAGCCATGTTTATGTCTTCACTTTAAATTGTTAAGAAAGTAAACAAGTGAAGTGGACTGATTTGAGTAATCCTTCTAGCCTTCTTGGAGAAAATTAGTTGCAAGACTTGAAGTCAGCAAGCTTCTGAGAAGAAAATAGTAACTGTGATTTAAACCCTAAGTTGAAATCAATAGTCAGGTGGTTGGTTTTTCTTGTACAAAGGTCTCATTTGATAACGACAGGGTTGTTCACGGAATACTAAAGCCTAGCTACTCAAAGTATGGCCATAGGTTTCTCTCATAAACTGGATTGAATGGTAATCTTTAACAGGTGGCATTTCAGTGGCACACTTAGTTGCAAACTCCTTAAGCTCGTGTAAAAATAGGGATGGCTGTTTATATAGAAGAAAGCAGAATTGTGGTATGAAAGTCATGATAGCCCTGGCCAGGTAGCTCAGTGGATTAGTGTTGTCCTGATACACCAACGTTGCAGATTCAATCCCTGGTCAGGACACATAAAAGAATCAACCAACCGTATATAATTTGTAATTTTTCCCCTTATTTTGGGGGTCTTTTTGCTTTTTTTTTTTTTTAAATATATTTTATTGATTTTGTACAGAGAGGGAAGGAGAGAGATAGAGAGTTAGAAACATCTATGAGAAAGAGTCATCGATCAGCTGCCTCTTGCACACCCCCTACTGGGGATTTGCCCGCAACCAAGGTACATGCCCTTGACAGGAATCAAACCCGGGACCCTTCAGTCCCCAAGCTCTATCCATTGAGCCAAACCGGCCTCGACTCTTTTTGCTTTCTTAATAGTAATTTGAAACACAAAAGTTTCTAAATTTGAAGTCCATTTAAACATCTGTCTCCTTATAAATTGGCACCTGATGCATTTAGGAGTGGTCACATCAGCAAGAGGTTTCAGGTTGGCCCTGATGCGGCCAGGCCTTGAGGAGCATTCAGTGTGTGGGATATATGATTGAACAATGATTATGATGAGAGAATGTGTCTTAGCTAGAAACTGATCACTGTTAGATTATTTGCCGGTTTTGCTTGAACTTCTTGTAAGAACCTTGAACTGACTCCAGTCCTTTGGAGAATAAGTCGGGTATAAATAAAATGCTTAAGGTAAACAAAAATAGGCAAAAGTGTGTGAAATATTCAAAATCACCTTTTGATTTCTCTTTGTAGGAGGAGCTCTTGGATATAAAAGAACGCCCTCATTCCAAACAAAGGCCTTCGTGCCTCTCTGAAAAATATGACAGGTGTGTGGAGGGGCGCAGCTGTCTGTCTGGGGGAGGGGAGGTCCTTTCTGCAGAAGATGGAAGGGCAGAGCTCAGGCACTCGCCTAAGGTGTCCCTGGTGGTGATGGCAGAGCTAGAATTCGGTCCCAGATCATTGGGCTCCAAAGCTGCTGTGCACACTGTACCACCTTGTCACCCTATCGTTAGAGGGGGAACAAAATAAAAACCATACCACATGTTTTAGGCTCTTACTAGGAAGAGCTTATAGGGAAAACAGACTATGAATAGAAATTCTGGGAAAAGACCTACTCAGCATTCTAGAAACTACTTCTAGGGAGAGGATTAGGGGTTTTCCCTCGTAATAATCTTTTATAAGCTGAGAAATCATATTTATGGAGCCAAATTCTTTGTGTAGAACAGGCATAGTTAGTATAGTCCATATGCACCCCAACATTTGTGATCTGAATATTTCATTTATGCACAGACCACGCTATTGGTGTTACATGAACAACAACAAAGTATTACTGAATTAATAGTTGCTTTTGTTTTAAAATAGATAACCATTTTAAACCATTTTTATGGCAATCATGATGTTTTATATTGGAAAGGGATGTGCTAACTGTCAGTGCCCTTTGACTTGTAGTGATGGTGTCTGGGACCCTGAGAAGTGGCATGCCTCTCTGTACCCAGCTTCCGGGAGGAGCTCCCCAGTGGAAAGTGTGAAAAAAGAGTTGGATACAGACCGGCCTTCCCTGGTGCGCAGGATAGTAGGTGAGCACGCAGACACTCGGAAGCGGGGGCAGCAATTTTGGAGACAGTGCTGTTTGCTGCTGGCTTCATTCGTAGCTGTGAGAGCTTTGTACAATGAGGTATTGAAAGTGCCATTACCAGGAAATGATTTCTAATTGAACTTTTCCTGATTAGCAGAGTAAAATCATAGCCTTCCTTGTAGCAGCAGTGGCAAGCAGACATATTAGGCTATGTTCTTTTGAATGAAAAATACCAATGTCATTCATTGACATACATAACTGAGTTAGGTATGGCAGGGAGCATAAAGCTGTGCTGAAAATATGATCTTTATATTTAGATCTATTACCCATTTTGAATTAATTTTTGTATGTGAGACCAGGTATGGATTCGAGTTCACTAGTTTGTGTGTGGGTATTCAACTGTTAATACTATTTGCTGAAAAGATACTTAACTTTTTAAGTAATTTTTTCAAATGCTGACGCCTATAACTTATTAGTTGACAAAACATCTGCTGGTCATTGCATAGATATGGACATAATCAAAGGGATTATGGAAACTGATCTGGGGAAATCATTTATAATGAAATACATTTATTGCTACTAAAGATAAAAAAGCAAACGGCTGCCTTACATAAATGTGTCATGTACATGTTCTTAGGTAACTGTGGGAGTGGTGACCCTTCTCCAGCAGCCCACCACCACTGTCATGAGCATCCCATAGAGGAGGGGACGGCCCGTGCTGGTTAGCTTACCTGTTTGTTTCTGACATCTCTCCAGATCCACGAGAGCGCCTGAAAGAAGATGACTTAGATGTTGTTCTCAGCCCCCAGAGGCGAAGCTTTGGAGGGGGTTGCCACGTCACAGCCGCTGTTAGCTCTCGGCGCTCAGGGAGCCCATTGGAGAAGGACAGTGATGGCCTTCGCCTGATTGGAGGACGAAGAATTGGCAGTGGGAGGATCATCTCTGCCAGGAACTTCGAGAAGGACCACCGTCTTAGCGACAAGGACCTGCGGGACTTGAGAGACAGAGACCGAGAGAGGGACTACAAGGACAAGCGTTTCCGGGTTTGTCTTCTAGGTTACTTGGCACCTTGTGTACTGAGGGACACAGTGGTCGCCTCATTTGTACCAGGTTACTTTGAGATCCTGTATGAACACGGCTCATTCTTAAACCAGATAGGGAGGAATGGATGGGGCAAAGAGGGGCTTCAGGTCTACATCATAGTATCTTCATCGCACTGTCAAGTATTACTTAATTTATCAAGGCCTTGATTGAGATAGAAATGCCTTAACAAGAATTTTCTTTTTTTTTATCTGCATTATGTACATTTCCAGAGGGAGTTTGGGGATAGTAAGCGTGTCTTTGGTGAGCGTAGAAGAAACGATTCCTACACAGAAGAAGAACCAGAATGGTTCTCAGCTGGACCCACAAGTCAGTCTGAAACCATTGAGCTGATTGGCTTTGATGATAAGATACTGGAAGAAGACCACAAGGGGAGAAAAAGAACAAGGCGACGGACAGCCTCTGTGAAGGAAGGTCAGCAAAAACGGGGAGGGGAGCTCACTGTTATAAATGCGATGTGCTTATAATTGGCTTAATTATGCACTTAGGAATGCATTTAATAAGAGTTAGCAAGTTCTTAAAATTTACTGTCTCCTCAACTTGCTCTGCCTCCAGTGCTAAACAGAAAGTCCTCACCTTATCCTAGCACAGTGCACACAAAAGGATTCCCAGAGATAAGACACATGTGGTAGATATAATTGGGGTCTCATTTATTGAGCACACTATATATATCACACAGAGTAATAAGCATTTGTTTATATAATCCTGCTTCCAACAGTCCTGTGAGGTAGGTGCCTTTATGCCCATCTTGTAAGCGAGCAATTGATGGCAAAGGGGGCCTCAGAGACTTGTCTGAGGACCCTGAGGAAGAAAGGAGCGAAACTGGGAGTTGAACAGGATGGTTGCTGTTACACTTTGTTCCCCAGGGCGATGCAGGAAACTGATAGATAACTTAGGAGACTTTGTCCTTAGTTACTTTTCCTAGGTCCCTGGAGGTCCCTGACTTTTGAGTTGATCATAAATGGCCAGTTGTGTTTGTCTGCTAGTGCATATTCCTCCTCATACAGACTCTCAGTAGTCAGGCCCAGTTTGCTTTCCTCAGAGCTTAAAGCTGTACACAGTCTGGCTGGTTTGGCTCAGTGGATAGAGCGTTGGCCTCCGGACTGAAAGGTCCCGGGTTCGATTCCAGTCAAGGGCATGTACCTTGGTTGCGGGCACATCCCTGGTGAGGGTGGTGCAAGAGGCAGCTGATTGATGATTCTCATCGATATTTCTAACTCTCTAGCCCTCTCTCTTCCTCTCTAAAAAAATCAATAAAATATATATTTTTTTTTAAAAAGCATCAGCCCACATACTGAGGTGTCATGGGTTCAATTCCTGGTCAAGGACATGTACCTGATTTGCAGGTTTGACTCCCCCACCCTACCAGAACATCTAAGAGAGGCAACTAATCGATGTGTCTCTCTCATCCATTTCTCTCTGTGTGTCTCCCTCTCCCTCTCCCTCCCTGCCACTCTCCCTTAAAAAAAAAAAAATTTCTGGGACCAACAATTACCTGATCATATGCTACCTTATTATGTGACCTGACCAGTAAGATGCAACTCTGTTATGTGACCTATATATAGGGTGTCCCAAAGAAATGTGTACACCACTTTGAATAATTATTAAGGGAGTATTTGTTATTTCATTTTCAAAATTGAGCTATCGGCTGTCTACATTTTTTTGAGACACCCTGTATTTATGGTTCAAGACAGCGCATTCATACTAGAGGACTGTTGTGTTGGCTGTGGTCATTTTTTTAAATTTGGCAACCTGAGGGGGAGGTCGGTGCCCCTGACTAAGCGGTCAGGTATTAAAAATTCTTGCGGCACACTGTGGGAAACGTGAAGAATGGGCAGGAGGAACCACAGTTCTTCCACAAGAAGAGAACTGTTTTTCTACTGAAAATGCTGTCCTGTAACAAGTCACCTGTGGCTCTTCTGCACGTGTGATGATGGCTGAGGCCACAGACTAAGTCTCCAGCGATTAGCTTGATCAGACTGCTTTTGTCCTGGTTTTGCTTTTAGGCATAGTCGAATGCAATGGAGGAGTGGCCGAAGAAGACGAGGTGGAGGTCATCCTTGCACAGGAGCCTGCTGCAGATCAGGAAGTGCCGAGGGATGCCGTCTTGCCTGAGCAGTCCCCAGGAGAATTTGACTTTAACGAGTTCTTTAACCTTGATAAGGTGCCGTGCTTAGCTTCGGTGAGTGTAGCAGCACACTTATGAAATGGAGGGAGCAACTATATGGTTAAATTTGATCTATGTCTTTAACATATGTCCTTTTGAGATATTGTTTTTGTTAGAGGCCCTGGGGGGTTTTAGGCTTTTATTTATTTTTTGTTTACCTAAATCTTCATGCAAGGGTATGTTTCTGATGAAAAATCAGGTATCAGCCTTATGGGAGCTCCTTTGTAGGTAACAGTATACTTTTCTCTTGCTGCCTTTAAGATTCTCTCTTGGTTGTTAATTTTTGCTGTTTTAATTATGATGTGTCTGGGCATGTGCTTGTTTGGATTCTTCTTGCTTAGGATTCTCTGTGCCTCCTAAATTTGTGTGACTTTTTCCTTTACTGGGCTAGGGAAGTTTTCTGCCATATCTTCAAACACGTTCTCTAACCCTCCCTCACTTTTTGCCTTTTCTGGCACACTTAGCGGGAGGCACTATCCTTAGTGCATCCCAGCTTGCTCTGTGGTAAAAATGACAGACCAAATAAACTCTCAAGGATTCTTCTCAGGTTTAAAATGCTTTTAGTTTCTTGTAATTGGCATTTCCAGTAAATGTGTATAAAAGTAACTTTGTTTTATGTTTTAGCTGTAATAAAATTTAGCTTTTCTAAGTGAAACAAAGTTGGTAGATGGTCAAAATATACAAATGACTTTCTCAACACTTACTGTCATATCTTTAGAAAATGTCCAGAAGCTTTATATTCAGGTCCTTTGCTTTTCATATTCCTTCTGTATATATTCTGACTTTTTTCCTATACAGTATGATCAAGGAAATAAAAGGATTAAAATGAAAAGCCATTTTTGCTATTTATAATATAGCAAAACTCTTTTCAACATAAAACTGTTTTTAATAGCTGTAGCTTTTAGTTACTTTTAAAATAATTCCTATTATATTTATCACTAAGGTGATTGTATCTTGGGTAAGATTCTCTATTTTTTACAGTGCCACATCACTCACAATGCTTCTCTTATGCTGTAATTATTGAAGTGCACGTAAAAGTCAGCATTATTTAAATGAGTCTACAAGTGGTATGTGATTGAAACTATGAATATCTCAGAAAATAGAAGTACCACAGATAATGATCAAATTAGTGTCTTGAATTAAAATCCCTTTTCTTAGGTGAAAGAAGTGTTTTGTGGCTTAGTTTGGGTATGTGTTATGAGAAAATTCTTCCAGATAAGAATAAAAGAATAGCCGAAACCGGTTTGGCTCAGTGGTAGAGCTTCGGTCTGCGGACTGAAAGATCCCAGGTTCAATTCTGGTCAAGGGCATGTACCTTGGTTGCGGGCACATCCCCAGTAGGGGGTGTGCAAAAGGCAGCTGGTCGATGTTTCTCTCTCATCGACGTTTCTATCTCTCTATCCCTCTCTCCTCCTCTCTGTAAAAAGTCAATAAAATATATTTTTTTTAAATAATAATAAATCTTAACTTCCACTGCTGAACTTTGGAAACTAGGGGTTCTAGACTTTAGATAAAAGAGTCACTAACTCTGTTATCCATGTACCAGTTTGGGGGGAAATGTGTTTTTTGTTTATTGGTATAGAAGTAAAAGTTTATGCCTACTTTCAAGGATCAACTTTGGTATTTAACTGGATTTATTTATAAGGTACAGTTGAAAATTTTATTTTTTAAAAATGTTTAAATCTGTGTTTCAAGAAGGGTTGGTAATAGAAATTACTATTATGAAATAGTGTTGAAAAAAATATTTCTGATCATAGTGCATCATTTAGTTGGCCTTATTATTAAGCCAGAAACCAGGGAAGTCGGATTTAAAATAAAACAAATACCTGAAAACTCCTTGTTAAATTCAAAAGATGTTAGAGATGCATTAAAAGTTCATCTTTCACATTCTGATATTTTCTAAACTTTGACTTGGAATTGTGATCTATGAGCTCTACTTTTTAGCTTTTGGCTTGTGAAATTACCAGCATTGAACTTTATGATGTTCATTACATCCATGGGACTGTTTGCAGCAAGGATTTTCTTTCATCGGCTGTTCATACATGATATTTAGTTGAAGGCCACTCCTCAGCTTGGCAATGGAATGCTTTACTCTTGGTGCTGATTTTTATTTTGAGACTGTCCTCCAAAAACATGCAGTAGTTCATGGATTTGTCTAATGAGGCAAAGGATAAAAAACGCCATGTCTATGGCACAGTGGTTTTGCTTTAAATGCTTAGAAAATACATGGTTGGTTATGCTCAAGTTTGGGTTACTCAGAATGACCCAGGAGGGAAAGAAAAATGAAAGATGTTCAGAATCCTAAGTTCTGAAGGTGTTTACCTTCAGGTCAGCCACTTCAAAGGAAGTATCAAAGTAAGTGACCCTTTCTTAAAATTTGAAACTTCTTGTCCCTTTCACCTAGAAACTATTATCTTAATTCCTTTGTCTTTCCTTTTAGATGATAGAAGACGTTTTGGGAGAAGGGTCAGTCTCTGCCAGTCGATTCAGTAGGTGGTTCTCTAACCCAAGCCGATCAGGAAGCAGATCCAGCAGTCTTGGTTCAACACCACATGAAGAACTGGAGAGACTTGCAGGTAAAATGGCTTCAGATTCTGGCCCTGGATATACACTTAAGCTCTCTCTAATACTGTTTATTGTCTTCATTAGTCAGGGGTTCATTAGGGTTAAAGAGTCTCTGGATACTGAAAAAGCCTTCAATCTGTGTCCTTTTAACACTACTTGAAGCTGTGTTTCTGTGCTTTATTTGGGTTAATTATGAATATATTTACTTGCATTATTAGGTCTGGAGCAAGCCATCCTCTCTCCTGGACAGAATTCGGGGAATTATTTTGCTCCTATACCATTGGAAGACCATGCTGAAAATAAAGTGGATATTTTAGAAATGCTACAGAAAGCCAAAGTGGATTTAAAACCTCTTCTTTCCAGCCTTTCTGCAAACAAAGAAAAACTTAAAGAGAGCTGTAAGTGTTTATTAGATTCTGCTTTAGGCATCTGAGAAAGCTTGAATGCTCAGTCTTAAGGCAGTTAATGCTATTTCATCAAAAGTCAAATATATGGTGGGTTTTGAATATTCTTCAAAAGAAAAATTAATTTATTATTTTTTTAATAAAACAATACCACCTCTTTGAGAACCTGGTAGTCAGTGGGTCCTGGGACCTCTATTAACTCTTCTCCCAGGAACCCATTTATAACACCAGCGAATGCTGACCTGAGCAGCATGTGGCAGCTCCTCACATCTTTGCCCCCAACTGCCATATCCTTGTGAGGTTATAAGCCTTCCACAGGAAGCCTTAGAGATACAAGAACCATAGTGCTGCTGATGTTGGGCTAGCGGGGGTTCCTGCCCCTGGTGACAAGTCTCCAGAAGACATTACAGAGGTCCTCCGACAGGATGCACAACAGATCTGGTCAAGTCTTACGCTTATGGCCCCCCGTTTCTAGCACAGAAGCATTTTAGGGCTAGTTTATGCCATCTCTTGCTCAGTACACAATTATGGCCTATTTCACCTGAGCAACAATGATTTTAAGTGTCTTCAGTCTATTTTTGGTGTCATTCTTTTTTACTTTCACCTTAACCATGATGGTAAAGAGAATTCCTACCACATATTCCTTTGCTTGATTTAACCTGGACTTTCTCAACTTTTCAGCACATTCAGGGGTTGTACTTTCAGTGGAAGAAGTAGAAGCAGGGCTCAAGGGCTTGAAGGTGGACCAGCAACTGAAGAATTCAACTCCTTTCATGGCAGAACACTTAGAGGAGACTCTGAGTGCTGTTACCAGCAATCGGCAGCTCAAAAAAGATGGCGATATGACTGCGTTCAACAAGCTAGTGAGCACCATGAAGGCAAGTGGGACTTTGCCTTCTCAGCCCAAAGTCAGCGTAAGTATTTTACACAAACTCCAGCCTTTCCTCCTTTTCCCTCTTTCTGTTCCACTTCCCACAATAAATGGATTTTTTAAAAGGTATTCTGAGTAAGTTGGAAATTTTTTTAGTTGTCATTTGGTCCTTCCTGCTTTTGTGTGTGCTTTAATTACTGCTGTGCTATTTGTTACTAGAAAAAGCAGGTTTGTGGTTAATCTACATGTATTGTGGGTGACAGTATAAAAATTGAAAGAGCCATATAACTTAAGTCATTGCTTAAAAAAAAAAAAATGGTGATGCATATCTTTTTGAACTCCAAAGGAAGTTTTTTGTTTATTCAGCTACTTGTCAGATCTTTTCCACACCTTCTCATTACTTCCAAATATCCGGGCTTACCTGCGTTCTTGATTAGGCCGTTGGCCGTTGTACGAAACATTTGTCAAACAGGAAGGATTTTTTTTAAGACAGTTGTATTTTGTTAATTTACTAATAGAAAAAGTTGTGACTCTAAACTTGTAAAACACCTTGAGGCATGAAGTTGGGTTACAAGGTGACTGAATATCAGTAAATGCTGGTGTATAGCACATACTGGAAGCTTATCCTAACACCTTAGAGGGTGGCTCGCAGCCATGGCCTGTGTGTCAGTATTGTTCTCCTTGATGAAAGTGATGAAGGAAGCAGGATAAATCTGAAGAATAAAAATCCATTTGCTGTACTAGCAAATTTACCAAATTGAGTGTTGCCTCTTGTTTTCTCCTTGTACATTCTTATCTGGGAACTACAAGTTAGCCTGGCAGCAGTAACTGATTCATTGTGCCTTGATCATGGGAAGGGAACTGATTTTTGGTGTTTCGCATATGACCAGCAGTTAGCAATAGAAATTGCCACAGAAATGCCATTGTTTTGGCCTTACTGCTAGGACTGTAAGGTGGCATCTCAGGGAGGTAGACTTCTTCCTGAGTATCTGACCACACCATGCCAGTATAGGGGAATACTTCTTGTAAACTGCTTTAGAATTATTTCCGCTCAAAGAATTATTAGATACAAGGGCCAGATTAAAAGATTGCAAACTCTTTTGTTCTCCTTCCTTGTTACCTTTGTGTCTTGGTGAATGGGTCACATCTTGTACCTTTTTTAGTGTGAGTAAAGAAATGGGAACAGAAAATTCAACAGTTCACCTGATGCTTTTGAGCATTTTGTTCAGATATGGATACAATTCTAGGGTTTGATAGTAGCACAAGTGACCCTAAATTGTTAGAGGAACTATTTCAATGTTCTGAAATATATCTGGTTTCACCCAAGGGAAGGAGACTCAAACACCTACTTAATAGATGATACAATTCAAGTTGCTAGGCAAAGAGTAACAGAAATTCAACATAACCTAGGAAAGAAAACAACAAGAAAAATAATGTAATAAGCACACCAGGCATTATCCCAAAATATTGCTTAATTTGCTAAAATCAAGTTTTTAATTACTGTGGCTGTGTGTGATGTATGGTATTTCTGATCTGCCTATGTCTGTTTAGCTTCAATAATGTTCTTTCCTCCTCCAAACATGTTGCTTCAATCTAAACTCCATTTCAAATTCAATTGTAGGCTCTGTATAGGAAACCATATAGTATAAAGTTGCCTATTTGTTTTTTTGTTAGAAGGAATTAAATGACTTTTTAGTGTATTTCTTATTAAAATCATCTGCAGTGAGTCCAATTCCAAAACCGACAATAAAACATCTGGATACCTTTGGGCTACATGTCATGCCCAAGGACACTGCTGTGGGCTTGGCATCTCCACCTAGCGGGAGGGAAACGACCAGAGAGAACACTTAGGCGTGGGGATGTACTGAAATGCAGGGAGGCAATGCAAGTTGGATGCAAAACATAACCGCAGCTGCACTAGAAGAGCAAAAAGTATAGGAATTGACTTTCCCCCTGTATGTGAGACCCATTTGAAACAGCGTGCTTATAAATAATAAAGTTGAAATTTCCTGAAATAGACAATTCTGGCCTGCATGTTGTTTACTAGATTTTTAGTATCACCTGGTCTAGAAATCTTGTTACAGTGTAGCAAAGCTGCCTCAAAAACTAAAATCTGTAAATTATCCAAACTTCCTGCGTGTGGCTTCTTACTCAAGTACTCCCCCTTTCACCATTTCTTCTTTGTCTGGTCAGTGTTAGAGACCATAAATGCACTAGAGCTCTTATAGGGAGGAAAGGACCTTGCCTGAGCAGGTCTCTGAGGGGACTCTGCATGTACATGGGAAGATTCTTTCTGGTCCCAGATATTTGGGATCTATGTGATGAGAAGGTGGAATAGGTTGATTTAAGTTCGTTTTCTGTGACTTTGACGTTATTCTGCTGTTACATGCTGACTCCTGAAGAGTTTTTAAAGCTCTCTTGTCCCCAAATAATCTTTAAGTGTGTAAGAAGGTTAAAACCAGTTTTCCTTTGATTTTTTTAGCGAAACCTTGATAGCCATTTGATGTCCCCTGCTGAGATTCCAGGCCAGCCCGTCTCCAAGAACATCCTGCAGGTACTTCCCAAACTTACTCCAAGGCCTCGGCATCCAAACAGAACTCTGAGTTGGTTTTTGTAGTGGTCCAGCTTCAGGCCTTAGAGAATGATCCATGCTGCTCTAACACAGTTGTCACTGTTAGTCTCAATGTGGAATGGGGAGGTAGCTAAAAAAAATGACAAAGCAAGCCCTTGATTTCCAGTTTGCAGATTACAATTTCTATGAAAATTTAAAGTATCTAACCTGTATTGATAGCCCTAACTTACAGCAATGTTGCTAACTGAACTTTCAGAGAAATGTGTCACATTTACATGTGACAAGTCCTTCATGGAATATGAAGGAGATTCATCGTTGGCTGCCGAAAATCAGTCCCTAAGTCACAGCCTCTCACCGGGAGGGAGAACAAGCTGTGTTCACGAGGACTTGACTTTCTGCCTTGTAGGAACTTCTGGGTCCACCAGTTCAGAGACCTGCTTCTTCCAACCTTCTGAGCGGCCTTATGGGGAGCCTGGAGCCTTCATCTCTACTGGGCCAAAGAGCGCCATCTCCTCCCTTGTCACAGGTGTTTCAGACACGAGCAGCCTCAGCAGACTACCTTCGTCCTCGAATACCATCACCAATTGGTAAATATTCGTGTGTACATGTCCATCCAAATGTCCATGTCATCGTTTTGTTTTTTTCTCTTGAGATTGATCTAAATTGGATCCAGCTCTTTGGTCTTGGGAATTCAATTCAAAAAAGCTAATTTGACTTCCTGGGTTTTTGCTCTTGATAGAGGATGTCAGAGTACCGGCTCTTTGCCAGCATAATGAAGTTGGACCACAATCATTTGTGAGGTCTATGGCTAATTCAGACTCTGAAGGGAAGCACTTCCAGAAGCTATCTTAGCAGAGCGTTGTGCATCATCTCCAGATGTTCCTACCACCCTGGACTACTTTAGGCCTCCTGCCAGTCATGTCTGTGAGGGAGTTTTTTGTAATCTTCCTCCAATTCCGGTCATTCCGTGCTGAGGTCCACAAAGCCCCCCTGTAAGGGACACAGAAAAGGGACCTCAGCCCAAGAAGTGAGGACTTTTCAAAGAGAAGGTGTTCAGGAGCAGCATGTCCTGGTGATAATGCCTCTTTGGTGGACATGTGCTATCTTGACCCTCACTGACACTGTAACTTTTCCAACAGGTTTCTCCCCAGGACCACAGCAGCTACTCGGAGATCCATTCCAAGGCATGCGCAAGCCCATGAGCCCTGTCACGGCCCAGGTCCAGCTGAGCTCTTTCTCAAATGCAATCTATCGCTTGCTTTTTACCTTTCTTATTATTCACGGGGTGGAGGATTAGATTGCTACAATTCTTGGAGGTGGTTTTTAACTATAATTCAGGCTCAACTATATATTTCAAGTAAAGGCTAAAAAATTGGCGAACCGCTGAATCATATATAAATAGTTAAAATCCTCTTTGGTGGATGGCACGATTTAGGTTGCAGCATTTAATTTCAGCTGTTGCTTACGGAGGGTGAAGAGAGACCTTTGCATAAAGTTCAGTGGCTGTCCTCATTCTTCTGATGCTCTGCCACTTCTGTCCAGCAGATAAGCCAGCTAGAGCTGCAGCAGGCGGCAGCTGTGGAGGGGCTGGCCCTGCCACACGACCTTGCAGTGCAGGCAGCAAACTTCTATCAGCCTGGCTTTGGCAAACCACAGGTGGACAGAACCAGAGATGGATTCAGAAACAGGTACGTTACTAATCCTACCCTTGTGGAGATTTGCAATTTAATTTTCCTCAGATTAGCAAATTAGTTGCCCACAGTGTAGTTGTAAACACCGATACACTGTACAACACATGGTGAGAATGCCATCTCATCCAGATATGCAGTAAAGGGAGTAATGACTGAAATCTACTGCTGGGCATAGGCTTTCGTCCTGTCTAATTCTTTTTATATTCTTGATTTTACATTCTAATTTATGAATTAGCTTCTTATTTGCAGCTATGCTATAAAATGATGGAAAGTAAAACTACCTAGCTTCCTCCACCATGGCTTCCTTGTTGAGTTTATCAAGCCATCTCTCGATGTAGGTTTGTTGATCAGAGCATTTAATGACTACTGACTTTACTCTCTTCCATCCTTTCTACTAGTGGCAACAAGTAGTAAAATGGAAGGAATCCTATGTTGGGGAGTGGGGTAGTAGCAATCTTATTTTTATTAGAAAACAAAAAACTGCATTAAGCAAATGTATAAGGCGAACTTCTTTGTTAGCCATCAGCAGCTCTCTGTGCGCCTTGGCCCTTTTATGCTCCCATATGTGTCTAGCTTTTAAGGACGGTTTAGTCCTGCCCAACAGTGCTTGGAAATTACTGAGTATTTATGTTTTGATGTGATTCTTAAAAATTGCCAATCTGTGTCTCAGTGTCTTGCTTCAGCTAGTTTTATATGCTGACGCTTTCAGAAAACATTGAGACCAGTAAGTACCCTGTACCTTTGCCTAAATGCATTCTATCTTTAGTAGCCCTCAGCCTAAACAGAGCTCAGGACTAGTCTGTTAAGGCTCAGCCATTGGCTCTCTCTCTACAATATAATGTAGATATCTGACATTCATTGACTTAACTTTCACACACCTTTGCTATAAAATAACTGCGCTTTAAAGATACAGAAACTTAGGTTAAGTATAACTTGCTTGAAACTAGTTAGTGTCAGTGGAACGTTCATGTTTTAGATCAAATGTCACCCTCCCGGGCCTTCCCTAAACACCGTGCTACACTGCCTCCCAACAAACATGACTTTCTCCTCTTGCTTTGTTTACTGTACTTACCACCTTCTAGCATACTATTTTTTAAAATATATCTTTATTGATTTCAGAGAAGAAGGGAGAGATGGGAACATCAGTGATGAGAAAATCACTGATTGGCTGCCCTCCTACACATCCCCACACTGGGGATCAAGCCCACATATGCCCTGACATGGAATTCAACCGTGACTTCCTGGTTCATAGGTCAATGCTCAACCACTGAGCCACACTAGCCAGGCTCTAGCATGCTATTTAATTTTTTTTCTGTGTCCCTGCCCATAGTAACCCCTCTGTACTCTGCAGTAAGAATATAATGAGACCAAAGTTTGTTTTGTTTTCTACTGTATCCCTAGCACTTACAATAGTGTCTAGCATATAGTAGGTGCTCAAGTATATTTGTCAGAAGGAATCAATCAGTTATACCTTATACAGAATCACCTGATTTGGGGTTTACAGCTTAATCACTCAGAATACTATTAATCTGTCCCCTCATTGCCATGATCAGAGTCTCAGTATGGCAGCAGTAGGGCTTACCTGGAAGAGACTGGAAAGAGGAAAGAAGTCATGGCTTAGGATTCCCATTTGCTTATGATTTAGAAAACTTCAGAAGCAGGCTGTACATGGGCTTGGGCCTTTGTGACACTGGGTCTGACCAGCCCGAACTGCAGTGGAACTTCCATTAGCCAGTGAGCTCACACATTCATTCCTCTCTCAGCCTATTTTTATCTTCAACTCTTCCCGTTTTTCTTCCAAATTAAGGCAGAATGAATAGAATGTCTACAGATAGAATGCAAGTCTGTTCTTTTAAACTTGACTTGGGAGGCCTGGGATCAGCCTTGTGTAGACCAGGAGTGGTAGGGAATGCTGCATGGAACCAGGTCTTAAAATAGCTGATTTGAGGCAGTGTCTCAGAGCATCAGTTCTATGCCAAGCACTGTGCTAGTCAGTATTGCTCCCTCTCCTCTAGAGCACAGCCTACCCACAAAATGAAACTACTCGCTAGCCTACTTCACCGGTATAGTCCAAAATAAACTATACGTGAGCTGTGGATAACCCTACATTCTCAAGGCCTTACCATGTCCGTTCCTTCTACCTAAATCCTTGTTCTCATCTCATAGCTTCTCATTGGTCACACCCAAGTCACTGGAGCTCCTTAACAGTGCAGCTTGTCCAGTCCCTGCAATAGACATCATTCCTTCCACCCCTCATCCTGCCATGACACCTGTTGGTACCTACTATCTGAACGCCTTGGTGCGTCCGAGGGTAGTAAGCATTTTCCCCACTAGCCGAGAGTTCTTGCAAGGCCTGGGGCCATGTTTCAGTGAGCTTTTGTCTTCCTTCAGAACTTAGCATGTGGTCTTGCATATTAAGACTTCGCAAATGCTTGGGAAGTTGAATTTGATAAGGGAAATGTTGAAGTCCTAGGCTGATCTTTAGTATTTTGTGGGTTTAGGACTCAGAGTTTAAGCAGCTTGGGCTTACACTGAAACTTGGTTTGTTCACAGGCAACAGCGAGTGACCAAGTCACCAGCACCCGTGCACAGAGGGAGTTCCTCTTCCCCTGCCCCTGCTGCCTCCATCACAAGCATGGTCAGTGACCTTTGCCTTTTGTGAATGACTTGTAGGGTTCTCTTTGTTTGGTTGTGCCTGTGTTGTATCACTGTAACACAAATGTCCTTGAGTGCCTTCCACAGGAATCACTGGTTTAATAGTATTTCATACCTGACTATTGGGTTTTCCCCTTTCAGTCTGTTGGGGTTTTAGTTAAAACCCTTACATTAGGGAAAGTATGTTTCAGCAAATAGACAAGTACAGGCTGAGCACATAGATGATATGTAGTATGTTCAAACAAGTGAACAATTGGAGTGGGGAGGACAGTACGAAAGGCAGGGGGTGAGGTGGATGGGCTGGTGACCAGGGTCAGGTCATGGGGAGTCCAGTGGTGAGTTCACAAATTCAGATCCAAATCTCTGAATGAATTAAGACTGGGACTGAGGGGTTTGCTTATTTGTGGAGAGAAGTTTAGTTGCACAGCTGACTCATAGTGCCAGCATTTTATTTTTTTTTAAGTTTCCTTCCCCACAAATTTTTATCACCTAGTTAAAGATGACAGATGTGGGGAAAACTATTACTCTATGTTCAGGATCCCAAGTAGGTCTTTGTACTAAGCACCTTGAAGGCAGGGTCTAGGAGTTTTTCTGTTCATAATTCATTTCCTCTCCTGCCATCATGGATTTGGGTTAAGAAAAGTTGCCTATATGATAAAGTCATCAAAGAAGAAATATGCAGTGAAGAGATAGGAACAAATGACCCCAAATGGTGAGTTCTAGTAGCTGAGGAGAATAGGAAGATAATTTTGAATGTCCTAGAAGTATACCAAGTCCTTGAATTAATTTTGTTCAAGGTCATTTGGTTATAATGTTGATGAGATGCTATAGATATAACCCTTGTTTTTATCAACTCACCTATAGTAAAATTGGCTTCATTATATGTCATTTAGCTCAAAGTCACAGAGCCTGTCAATAATGTTAAGTGAGGATTTGCAGTATAGAAAAATTTAGGCACTGAGGTTGTCTCTGAAATGTCCTTTCCTGGCTGGATGTGGTATACTTCTGGTCATATTCTCCCCCTCTCCCAAGCTAATGCCCTGACTGGAGTAGCTGCATAGGCAGGTCTCCATCATCTAGTTAAAGCTTTTTGCTTTAACTTCCTTTATGTACAAGGTTTTGATGAAAGTGAGTTGAGAGGGAAGATGCACTGGGCCACCGTCTATTTGCCCCATCCTGTGTCTTTACCTCTAGTAGCTAGAGACCACAGCATTGGCTTTCACGTGTGGCCAACAAGGGACTCTTCAGCTTGCTTAGTTTGTCCAGTTAATCTTGGCTTGAGTAGCAAAAGGTATTTAGAGAAGTGCTAATACTAATTGTTCTCTGCAGCTTTCTCCTTCCTTCACCCCTACCTCAGTGATTCGTAAGATGTATGAGAGCAAAGAGAAGAGCAAGGAGGAGCCAGCATCTGGAAAAGCAGTTCTTGGTGACAATAAAGAAGACACTCAGAAGGCCAGTGAAGGTACTGCAGAACTGTTGAGGATGTACTGCCCAAGATAGTATGTGAGAGGGAGCATGAATTTGAGTGCTGACCAGCATGGCCTGATCCCCTGCAAAGCGCTAGACAAGATCCCTGACTGCTCTAGATCCACATTTCTGTGTTTGACATTGAGAAGGTTGGACCAGCTCATAGTCACGTAGCCACTTGAAAAAACTGACCAATCTAAGAATACTAGTATTAGATAGGAAGGGATGAGCTTTAGGTATGGACTCTTATTTAGGTTCAAAGTTGAATTATTAGTACATCTATTTGGCAAATTGATATAGTTCATTCAATCAGTTTTACTTCTGAAAGATTCTCTCCAATCTATAGAGACTGTGCCCAACAAACTGTGCAGTGAATGAAGCATATAGGACGTGTACAAAGCCTTTGTTGAGAGGCTTCTTTTAGGAATTGCACCATTGAGATTGAAAAAGACATGGTGAAACGTTCTCATGTTAGGTTTACACAGGCCTCAAGTGAGTATGAGCTTTTGGCCTGTGAGGAAGTTGGGGGTGGGGGGAGGAATCCTGTCAGTCTTACTTAAAAAGGCGGTTAAGGTTCCTTTACCAGGTTCAACTTTCTGTTATGATAGATTTGCATAATTTTACTTGACTTTTTCCTTAGGCTTTGATAAAGCATGTTACTCCCAAGCAGCCGATTAGGATAGGAGAGCTCCCTCACAGATAAGACCACAGCCTGATGGGCAGAGCAAGGTGGCCAGCTGAGTTACACCAGACATGATAAGCCAGGCTCACCTGCCCAACAGCTACTCCTAGGTTGAGAGGATTTTAAGAATAAAAACAGGGGCTTAAGAGTTGTTTTTAACTTTAGAGCCTTTGGTTTTTTAAAGTGCAGCAAAGATAAACTCTGTTCCAACGAAGTGTTTGTTGAAAAGTGGAAAACTTGGTATCTGTCCCTGACTACCACTATGGCCTCGACTGGGCCTGTTCATAAGACAAATTGATGTTCCTTAATGATGCAATTCTCTAAATTTGTTGAGGGGAGTCAAATAAGGATTCTGAGTTTTCCAAGAAATGAGATTTACTGGATCATTGTGAGGATAAACTGTTTGGGAGTTTGCCAACACCAAAAATATTCTGTCTGGATCCCTACAGAGAACCTCCTGTCATCCAACTCTGTGCCCAATGCTGATCGAGACTATTCTGCCACAAATCCCAAACTGTCAACATTGCAGCGGTCTTCCTGTTCCACCCCACTGTCCCAGACCAACCGTTACACCAAAGAACAAGACTACCGACCTAAAGCAGCTGGGAGGAAAACGCCCACCCTGGCACCCCCAGTCCCAGGAACACCTTTTCTCCGTCCTGTCCACCAAGTTCCCCTTGTCCCCCATGTCCCAATTGTTCGACCTGCTCACCAGCTTCACCCAGGGTTGGTCCAAAGGATGCTGGCTCAGGGGATACATCCACAACATCTTCCAAGTTTGCTACAAGCTGGTGAGTTTCTGACATGGCATGACAACAGTTGCTAGAACTAATGAAGTGCTGTGCTGTGGGAGGTTTTCATCCCTAGAAAGATGTTACTAGATTTTTCCATCTAACTAGTGGCCAGTGGGTCCAATCCAGCCCACCCCTTATTCCATTAAAAAATTAGGAACCTTGCTTAAGCATTCTTCACTCATCAGATCAGTAACACTGTACAATCAAGCCTGAAAACTTCCAGGTAGATTAACTTCTCGCCAATTTCTTCTATCTAACAGGTGTGCTTCCTCCTGGGATGGATCTGGCTCATTTACAGGGAATATCTAGCCCAATCCTGGGTCAACCCTTTTACCCTTTACCTGCTGCTAATCACCCTCTCCTAAACCCTCGTCCTGGGACCCCTCTGCATCTGGCAATGATGCAACAGCAGCTACAGCGTTCAGGTAGGTTCAGGAATGGGCTAGGTGAGCTGCGTGTAGCTAAATAGGCTTTAAAGTTTTGGACCAGTTCCCAGTGATGGGGGGTGAATTGACATAGACAATTCATTCATTAACTTACCCTGCAAGACTGGGTTAAGGGTATAACCAGAGACTAGGATAATGTAAACCAACCTCTACAGGATTTGGAATTCCTGTACCTATAAAACAGAGAGCCAACTGTGCTCTGGTGTTTTTTTTGTCCTTTGCCTCTTATAAGAGGCTGAAAATCCTTCCAGCAGAGGTTCAGCATAGGGACTGCCCAGAGTAGATGCCCTCACCAGCTATGTTAGTGCTTCTGTGATGTGGCTGCTTGCTGTGGGACATAGTAATCATGTCATCTACTAGAGTGTCTTCTGAATAGCTCAGCTTTCCAAGGTCTGTTTTCTGGCATTTTGCAAAGGAATTTCCTAGAATAAATCATCAAGTAAAGAATTCTGTTTGGAGTTTTATGGATAAAGTTGAGGGAGGCAAGACCTGATACAATACTTTCCCCCTCGTGTTCTAACTTTTTTTAAAATGTATTTCTTTTATTGATTTCAGAAAGGAAGGGAGGAGAGATACAAACATTAATGATGAGAGAATCATTGGTCGGCTGCCTCCATGCCTCCTACTGGGGATCGAGCCCACAACCCAGGCATGTGCCCTTGGCCGGAATCAAACCTGGGACCCTTCAGTCCACAGGCTGATGCTCTATCCATTGAGCCAAGCTGGCTAGGGCATAACTCTTCCTTCTTATTCCCGCAGTTCTTCATCCTCCAGGCTCTGGTGCCCAGGCAGCAGCTGTCAGTGTTCAGGCGACCCCACAGAACGTGCCCAGCCGGTCAAGCCTGCCCCACATGCACTCCCCACTGGAGCACCGCCCCAGCCAGAGGAGCAGCTCCCCAGTGGGCCTTGCCAAATGGTTTGGCTCTGATGTGCTACAGCAGCCCCTGCCCTCCATGCCCGCCAAAGTCATCAGTGTGGATGAATTAGAATATCGACAGTGAGCAAGGCAGGCAGGCTCACCTAACCCTGGACCTATGGTGGCACCTGGTCAGGACTCTGCTTGGTTTACAGGCTTTTACTTTGGAGCACTCTGTGCAAAGCTGTTTAGGAGGCCTAGGCGTCTGGTGTGGTCTGCATGATGGAAGCCTACGTGGTCTGAATACAGGATGCACAGTGTTGTCAATGCCGGAAGTAATCTTTCTTTTTTTGTAAGATATGTGAATGAAGTGTTGGTGTCTTCACCAAGAGGTGGCACCTAAGGGTTCTGAGGAAATAAATGTATAGAACCTTATGTACAGACCTGTGTATAAATAATTTTTGTATATACAGATAGGATAGCTTTTTTGAACTTATACAGCTGTACATAAAAGTAGCTGATATTAGTTAAGTCTGTGTCTACAGTTTGTATTTCTTTCACTTGTACATTTGGGACTTTCTCTTTTGGTTGATTAAAGTTGCATATGATGTGAATGAAGTGAATGGCATTATGGTGTTTATTTTCTCCGGAACCCCTTCCTCCTTGTTTCCAACCAGCTGACCTAACAAGGTCAATAGGTACCTCATGGGAAATTAATTTGGTTTTTAGAGCATTAGATGATTCCAGTCAAGGGCAAGTACCTTGGTTGCAGGTTCAATCCCCAATAAGGGATTTGCAGGAGACAGCAGACCAATGATTCTCTCATCATTGATGTTTCTCTCTCTCCCTCTCCCTTCCTCTCTGAAATAAAAATGTATATTTTTAAATAATGGACCAGTGATATCAAGGCTTATATCCTACAAAGGGACTGGGATACCAGGCCTAAGGGGTTTATCTTCTGAGTGGAAAAAACAGTGCTCACTTTTTGTAGGCATTTTACAAGAACCACATCCCTTACTACTAACAATTCCCACTTTAGTAAGTGCTGTTACTATCCCCTTGTTATATGAGGAAACTCCAGGAAGATTTGGAGGAAAACAACTGTCACCAGGAAAACAAAAGAAACAAGTACTAGAGAAGCCTGAATGTGTGTATAATCCACATCTCCGTTCCTCACAAACTGCTTCTCTAGCTCACTTCCTCTATAATCTCTCTTCCTGCAAACCTGTTTGCCTTCCTGATTTTCTTAGGTTACTATCACTCCTTTAACGCATAATGAAGTCATCTTTGAGTTCTCTACCTCTAAAGAGCAAGTCGGTCACCAAGTTTAAATTTCTCCTCTGTACCTATATGCCCATCACCCTCTGTCCATCCATATTCTCCCTAGCCAGTCCACCACACAGAGATTTTTCCCAATTTCCCATTATCCGAGCAATCCCTTCAAAATCCCTATTCCCAGCCCAAAACCTCTGATGATACCTTAATGTAATCTCCAACTGCCATACGTAACACATGATGTATACACACAGCCTGCTCTGCTCTGATCACACTGGCTGCCTCACTTGAATGTTCTGCCTCCATGTCTTCAACCAGGTTATGTGGTTGAGGCCTGGCCTGCCATGGGGGTTCAAGCAGAAAGGCGGGGCTATAGAAAAGGGGACACTTAGTGGGTTCAGCTAAACATTCAGCCCAACACTAACAGACAGCCATGTTCTGACTAGGGCAGGCAGGGAGCCCAGGAAAAGCACAGGAACCAGTGACAAGAGCCAACATTTAGCTGTGCTAGGCATTTTACAAGAACCACATCCCTTACTACTAGCAATTCCCACTTTAGTAAGTGCTGTTACTATCCCCTTGTTATGTGAGGAAACTAAGGTTTATTGAGATTAAGTAATTGGAGCAAGGTTCCACAGCTTTAGCTAATTAGAAGTTAACCTGCAATTCAAACTCCAATGTGCCTGATCAAGAGTATTTTACTCAGTGACCACCCATCATCTCCCAAATGGGCTAGCCTTGCAAAGAATACACAGTTAACTTACATCAAGTCTTTCGACATCATCTAGAAAGACCACTCAAAAGGACTAAAGGCCTCAGCCAGTTGGAAGGGTTTCCCATGATTAAACATCAAATTAAGATGTTGCAGCCCAGCTGGTATGGCTCAGTGGTTGAGCATTAACCTATGAACCAGGTGGTAACAGTTCAGTTCCCAGTCAGGGCACATGCCAAGGTTGCGGCTCAATCCCTGGTGTGGAGCATACAGGAAGCAACCAATTGATGTTTCTCTTTCACACAATATCTGTAACTTTTCCTTTCTGTAAAAATCGATGGGAAAATATCCTCGGGTGAGGAGTTAAAAAAAAAAAAAAAGTTCTGGTGTTCAGTGGTTAGAGCATTGGCCCTGTCAACCAAAAGGTCATGATTCAATTCCCATTCAAAGGTACATTCCTCAGTTGCAGGTTTGATCCCTGGTCTCAGTTATGGCTTGTCCTAGTCAGGGATCATGCAGGAGGCAACCTGTCAAAGTGTCTCTCTCACATCAACGTTGCTCTCACTCGCGCGCGCGCTCTCTCTCTCTGTCCCTTCCCACTCCCTACCACTCTCTAAAGATCAATGGAGAATTTAAAAAAAAAAAAAAAAGGAAAATTGCAGTCACATTTTTATCCAGTTCACACTCAAGACCAAGTTTCCAAGTAACCCCTTATCCAGCTGCCTCCCAGTAGGTACCCATCCATATTTAGTCCATCGCAAAACAAATTCTGACAATGACACACGACCTGCACATAGCCAGCTGGCCGTCAGGTCCTTTATGCAGTTCAACACACAAGGTGACACCAAGTTAAGACAAGTGAAGTTCCAATTTGGGTACCTCCATCTCCCTCCCCTGAATCCTGATCCAGTGGTTGCCAAAGCCAGAAGGGGCTTGAGGTGGGGTGCTTGGTCGTGGGGAAAGCTGCAGTGGTTGGCCCAGCAGATGGGGAAGGGGAAGCTTCACTTCTTCACAATCTGAATGACATCCTCGTCCTCCAACGTATGGTCTTTACCCACTTTTTGAGGATTGTGTTTCACAGAGAGACCCCAGACCAGAGCGCTAGATGGAAGGCAAAAAAAGAACAGTGTAAATAATCACTTAGTTTAACTGCCTCCCAGCCACCTTTCTGCTCAGGTGGAGCATTCAGGCTCTTAAAGAGCTACAGTCCTTTAGCTTTGGCTTCCCCAGCACTGTGACACACTGGAATCTTCACATAAAAGTAGCATAGATTTTTGGAAGTTGTGTAATTCCTTGTGTTCCAAAGCCAATTTTAAAAAGTCAGAGAGAAAAAACACAAATGAGAAGGGTGACGAGATGAGCTTAAAATTAAGAAAGCATGGGTTTATTGTACAGAAATATCCTGAAATAATTCAGATTGGAAATTAATTCTCAGAAATTGTGTCAGTTATCAACTGTTAAAGATTACCAGTTTATAGTGATTTTACTGAAACTATCAGTGGGTAACTGATAAAAAAAATGTAGGACCTCCCTTCCTCAGCCATGCTTGGAAAATTCTCCCTATCAAGAAACCATAACTGAGCCCTGACCAGGTAGCTCAGTTGGTTAGAGCATCGTCCTAACATGCCAACACTGTGGGTTCAATCCCCGGTCAGGGCACATACAAAAATCAACCAATGAACACAAAAATAAGTATAACAAATCAATGTTTCTCTGTCAAATCAATAAATTAAAAAGAAATATATATATATATATATATATATATATATATATATATATTTGAAAATAATTTTTATCCACGGATCTCAAATACTAAAAATATGTAGCACTACTGATGGAATCTGGTAAATAAGACACTGAGACCTGCCTCACAGAGGCTAAGAAATATGTACCAAAGGACAGAAAATGGTGGCCATATTGCTATGAATGCTATGCTAAGAATTTCTAGTTAATGAAATCGGTAGCTCACCGGGGAAAGATGGCACCACATACATGCCCATGATACTTACTATTTAAATTCTTTAATAAGATTTTTGTGAATCTTCATGCAGAAATCCTCCACTGTGGTCCTGGAGTAAGGCAGTACTACTGGGGATGTGTAATCTGGCAACTGGCCTTTGGGTTTGGTGTAACTAGAACAGAGAAGAGTTGAGGTTGCCTACTTCTTGGTATGTTTCATGTGCTGAATGCAAATCAACCCTCCATCACCTCAGAGAACAGAGGCACATTACCCCAACTTGAGGGGAAAAAAGTGCCCTCAATATTGCCTAGCAGATGATAGGAATTAGTTTGTGTCTCCAAAAAGACTTTATGTTAATGAGCTCCAGAAGACACCATTGAGAGACAGTCTGGTTTAATTCCCAGAGCAGTATTACCCAATCCACTAAGACTCACATCCTCACAAGTTTCAGGTAGTCCCAGATCTTTTCCAACAGGTCATCAAAATTCCAGCGGTGATGAGCAGAGATGGGTACACAGTGAGGTACCTTATAGATGATATCCAATTCCTCAATGGAGATCTGATCAATCTTATTTAACACATAGATACAGGGGATATAAACTCTATAAAAGAAAAGCAGGACATTGGTCTGGAGCTGCTGACAAGACTCAGTTTGATTGTCAGTACTCCCTCAGCCAGAATCCTAAATCAGAGACTCTCCAAGGGATCATATGATGCAGATCAACACCACTCCCTCCCCGCCGGCCCCACAAAAATAAACTTCCTACCAAAATAAAATAGAACATCCAAAAGGTGAACTATAGGTAACAAAACCCAGGCGCTAGTTTCAGCCATGCAGCTAACTGAGAGAACATGCTACAAGGGAAAAGAACACAAGCTTTAGAGTCACACAGACTGAATCTATTCACAGCTCTTTCATTTCTACATATGTGCCCCTAGACAAGTCTCAGAGTTGATTTCCTACAAAGTTGTTTTCAGAAATGTAAGAATGTAAATGTATTTCTAATAACATATTTCATGATAATTTTTAAAGAATAAAAAAAAATTGCCCAGCTGGCATGGCTCGGTGATTGAGCATCAACTTATGAACCAGGAAGTCACCGTTCGGGTCCCGGTCAGGGCACATGCCCAAGTGCGGGGCTTGATCCCCTGTGGGGGGCGTGCAGGAGGCATCCAATCCATGATTCTCTCTCATCAT